TTTACTCAGTGTTTTTTTTATTTTACAGTGGGGTAATTTTGGTGCAGTAGCACGAGATAGCTTGATTTCAAACTTTGAATTGAATAAAAAACGACAAGTAAGCAGTCAGTAATAAAAGAAGAACAAATTAATTTTATTTTTTTAAATTAATAATGATAGCACAAATAAAAAATAACGACAGGCCTTCGAATTAAATAAATTGCTTTTTAGTTTTTCAGATAGGTCTAACAGTAGGGTTAAGATATTTAATTTTAATTTTATTTATTATTTTTTTTAACCAATTATCCAAATAACGTTTAGTCCTAGAAAGCTATTATTATCAGAACACGTGAGCATAACATAGCGGTTAGCAGATCAATGAATGAGAGGGCAGCGTTACCAGAGTTGCCCATATACCACACCATGTTACAACACATTAGGGCTATTGCAGACAGAAACAATACTGTACTACATCGATGTTTCCTGTCGGCTCAATTTTTGAGTGGACTTTGCTGTTCTGATGAGCATGAACGGTATACGAGTGGAGCGACTGAGCGGAGCGCACACACATAGAGCGGGATAATACGCAGAGCGTCACACCACGTGAAAGTGAATCCTGAGCGGTGAACTAATTTTCGGCAGCCGAAATTTCGGTGCATCTCTAATTATTGGCGACATCAGAAATGGATATTATATAATAGATGCTTTTTTGAACATTTTAGCAATTTAAAAATATTAAAAAAGGATTTTTTACACGGCACCCCTGCTCTCGACAGACGGCACCCCGGTTGGGAAACACTGGTCTATGATGCTGACAAATAATGCTGACTCACAGCCTATAAGTACATTTTCATATTTAAAGGATTTGCCACTGACGATTCAAACGCGAGTTTTGAGCAGTGTAGAGTAGCGCTTGTTGTTTGTCGTTTCTCCGATCACAAATGCAGACATGGTTTTATGTTTACGCTGCGCGATGCAACGCAACACGTAAAAAGACAGTATAATTAATTATAACCAGTAATTATGTCCCCACTGGATGCAACAAATGCCTCGTTTATAATGGGTTTTATTAGTTTTGTCTCGTCGCTCCGGCCGGGACATGGCATCACAGTATGTTAAGGGGCGTAACATTTCCTTCACACGCTTGAGGTATTTGGCCAATCACAACGCACTGGATAGCTGGCCAATCAGAGCACACCTCGCTTTTCAGAACGATGAGCTTTGTAAACATTGACGCGTTTCAGAAAGGCGGGGTATAGAGGAAACACAATAATGTTGTTAATAACATCTAAAATCATCCCATCCCAGTCATAATCTTTCTACCGTACACAGGGCCGCAAACAGTAACTGCTGGTCGAATGACTGCATCCACACCATCTCTCCCTAGCCGTGCGTAATCAAAACGATGAATGTTCCTCGATGCGCATAATTTAGAAATGGAGGAAATACTGGAGCCTCTCCCGAGTCCATATTGCTGCTGTAGGACCTCTTGAACTTGTTTGCATGTGTATCCCAGCTCCTCTAACCTGCGGATTACACTTTCGTAATCATCAAACACACTCCACTCACACATCTTCC